TAATATACTAATAATAATAACTAAATAATATCTAAAAATAACTAATAATAAAATAAAATAAAATAATCGTTCTATAATATTTCTGTCTTCTTATAAAATTTGTTCCACAAATTTAAACTTGCAACCATCGAGGAGTCGATGATAATCACCATCAGTTAGCTTGATGAGCTGTGTTGCTGTTAGGGTCTGTAACTGAGAAATAACTTTCTTTAGGCAGATTCTGAAAAGTTCATAAGTTCGATAGGCACTACGCCAAGTGTCTTTGGCTTTTCTTTTGCCTTGTTTTCTTTCAATAAAGTCTTTTATCATGGCTGGGTTTGCATGTTGGTCAAGAAGTTTCCCAAGACAATAATACGTCTAAATCTTTTGGTTGAGGTCTTTTCTAGTTCGGCCTTGAGTAGCGAGTTGAGTCAACATCTTGTCTACTTGGGTTTTCCAAGTTCTACTAATAAACAGATTGGTTAAGCTTTTAGTCATTGGCTGGATGGTTTGAGATATATCAGTTAGAAGAATAGTTATAGAGACTTCTAAGTTTTCAATTTCTGGTTCTAAAGCTGAAATAAGATCGGTAGTGTCTTCTATTTCTGATTCTAAGATTAGAATAAGATTGGTAGTATCTTCTATTTCTTCTGGCAATAGAAAGTTATTAAGATTTACTTCTATCGATTGGTCAAGAAGCAGCATTAAATCAAAGTTTCTGATGGCATCCAGAAGGTTTCATAGTAATACATTATGCGATGCAATATTCAAATTGTATTGGGAGGCAGGATCTTGTTTCCATTTTAGGAGAAAGTTATTTAAAGTGATAAGGGTTTCTGGTTGTGAAGTAGGTAATTCCATTTTCAGATGAAAGATGTCTGTTTCTAAGTCTATATATATCTTTTTAACAGTATGATTGTCTGTTTTACAAAATTTTTGTGTTGTTTCTCCCCTTTCAATCAAATTTTTTCCAGAAATTACTAATTTTCAATCACTACAATTGGTTCCCATATCTGTTTTTCATAATACTTTGCAAGTCTATCACTATTATTGTATTTTTGTAATACTTGTCCTACATTATTTCGTAATTTATAGGCACCATTGTTCAACTTTTCTTGTATAACGAATGGTCCAAATCTTTTATCTTCGAATTTGGCTGATCTGGATTTTTCTATTTCTTTTCTTTGTATCCAAACTTTATCACCAATTCTGTATTCTTCTGGTCTAATTTTATTATCGAAATATTCTTTCTGTTTCTGTTGTGATCTTTCTGTATTCAATCGAGCATCATTTTGCGAGTATGGCATTTTGTCTATTAACTCATAGGCTCGTTGTAATATACTATCTTGTAAATCTATTTCTTTATCTGCATCTGGACTAGGCTCAGTAGGAATAATAGTTTCTATGGGCAGGATTGCTTGTCTTCTATAAACTAAGTAAAAAGATATATATCTTGTAGTGGCATGTCTTTTGGTCCGATATGCTAATAGAACAGCAGGAATATATAAATTCCAATCATTAGTTCCTTTTACTTTCACAAGTGATTCACATAGTGTTCTGTTAAGTCTTTCAACCATTCCATTTGTCTGAAGATGGTATGGAGATGAAAACTTATGCTTGATTAAAAACTTTTCACATAAGATGCAAATAGTTTCACTGATAAAGTTTTGGCCTTGGTCTGATAAAATTATCTTTGGTGTTCCATGTCTACATACAATTTCTTCGAATATAAACTTGGTTAGTGTTTCAGCTCCAGCATCTGGTACAGCTCAGGCTTCTGGCCATCGGGTTAGATAGTCTGTGGCAACAATAATATATCGGTTATTCTGTTGGGTTATTGGTAAGGGTCCAACAAGGTCAATTCTTATGCATTCCAAAGCTCATCCAACTTGGATCGGGTGTAAAGGTTCTTTTCTTTGTCCTTTCTGTCTTTTCTGGCATTCTTTATATGTCTTTACATATTCTTTTATATCTCTATACATTTGGTCCCAGTAATATCGTTCAGCTATTTTATAATACATAGCA